CTGGGTTACAGGGAGAGCGAAATAAATACAGAAAGTGACTCTCTCTCTCTCTTTCTCTCTCTCTCTCTCTCTCACACACACACACACACACACACACACACACACACACACACACACACACACACACCGTCACACACACACACCTACACACACACAGGAATTGAGCCCACGTTTTCTGCTAGCGACGACGAAGAGTAAAGCCAGGGGGCATCACATGAAAAAATATCGACTGCTTAACCCTATCCGTACTTCGTGTTTTACTATCGCATCCATACGACGTTGGGAACTCCAAAGAGGAAATTTACTCCTTAATACGATCCGTACGATTTGCATAGCAGTCTGTCAAAACGATTTTTTGAGAATTAATACTGAAAGTTTCAAAGAGATCTTCGTACTAGTTTAGTAGCATTCTAAAATGTGGAGGCTACAACCGCGGGGGTACAAAATGACACCAGGGCGTACGGATAGGGTTAATAATAATAATAATAGAGAGCATTTGTATAGCGAAATATCCCCGATCAACAGCAGGCTCTATGCGCTTTACACTATATTAAGACTTCGCCATACGCCGTTTTCAAAAGTGACGGCATGACGTTGAGCAGTCGATATTCTGGTGAAAAAAGGGATTTTGCCCATACCGATTTTGTTTACAAGAAGAAAAGGGGTGGGAAGTTGGCTCGTGCTCTGGTATGGTTTGGTTTGTTCCTTCTTTCCCAATAAACATCTATCGTCCTTATCTCTCCTCCCTCTGTTATTTGCATGTTCCTATCTAATAATAGTTCTATTCTTAGGCACTTATATGACCTAATTGTGTTGCAAGTGCTGTAAACCTTTTGCTAAACTAAACTAACATTTGCACCCAAAAAAAATGAGTTGGAGTGAGCACCCACCTGTCAACAGCGATGGCGCACGTGCTGTAGGCAGAGGCTGAGGAGAGCAGGACCATCATGAAGGACCAGGGGAGACAGAGGTTGACGCCCTCAGATGTGAAAGGCCCCACCTGTCGGGAGGTACATATACGTATGCTGAGAATGATGGCGCACCACAGTCTATCGGGTATATATATATATATATATATATATATATATATATATATATATCGGGCCGTGTGGCTTTCTACATCAAAACAGAACAGAGGTGGGAGAAAACTCGTGGGGCGAGCGGACAGCAGGAGGTCTTCAGAGGAAGAACTCTATCTACCAGATAAAAAGCTGAGTCTTTAATTGAATTCACATTCAATTCACACAGTGACGGCAAAGAGCCTAAGCAATCGCCCGAGGACGCCTTGGGAGTCTTTCTAATTATAGCTCAACCATCTTCAAGTGCCGCTCAAAGGCGCCATGTCTCCTAACACACGCAAGATCGACTCATCATCTCGCTACCTTAAAATTACAAAACTCTATCTGACATTTTGGGCCGTTCTTGGCTACTTTGGCAATGGGTTCAGAACCAATAAATGTTCTATCTGCTCTATCAAAACCGTCAGATTATTCTTAGTCGTTATCACGATATGCAAAGAATTGCATTCTAAAAAGCTTGACATAATATTGTGAAACTAAATTTTTTTTTACGTCAAATTTCTCAAAACGATGTACTGAGCAGATAAACCTGTGTAATTCTGAGGTAGCGATATGTCAGTTCGCATTATTCTGTAGATAGCCGTATATATTATAATGATATCGTAATATGTACCATCTGTCGCGTACGTCGTTGCCTGCCCTCGACACTTTCGTATTCAAAAGGTCTGAGGAGCGTCAAGTTATAGGTTTTGTCTCTGATTTCTCAACCAGGGTCTCTCAGCTGGACGCCACAGTTACAACTTTTGGGGCAACAGTTTGACCGCGACTTTTATTGCTGGTCAGCCCGGAGAAGAAAAAGTCCGCTGTTTTTACACCAAGCCGCCTTCACGTAGTACCTTATGTTACCAACTCGCTCTACTCTACTCCTGTGTCTCTAATTTATTTTTAGGCTTTAAACAGAAACGTGACGTGCTTTCCTTAGTGATCTATTTCTTGTGATTTGTTTGGTGATCTAACTTATTGCAGCATCAGTAGGCTAAACTGTTATTAAAAATAGACATCGTTGCTTCTTCAGAGTTTGATATAATTGTAGAAAGGCCGCTCACATTTATAAAAAGACCACTTCTTTGGTAGAGTCTTTTATGGGATCTCATTTTTCTTCTCAATATCCATTTCAGCGTGTACAGCAAGCTACAGAGTAAATAATTAATTCATCTCATATTTCATTCCGTCGTATCAATTTAGATCAACACCTATTCGACCTAAGTTCTCATAATTCAGCAGAAAACGGTAAGTTTTGATAATTTGCTATACTTTTTTTTCTTCTTTTTTTTTTTTTTAGAGGGAGGTTTCAGTATTCTCTGTTTTGCCTTTTTATTATTTTTATAAAGTTACTGCAATATTCTTCTTAGATCCTGAAAGGTCTGATTCTATAATTTCTTATTGCGATGAAGGTTACAAATTTACTGGAATGAGGTGTATTTAATTTGATTAATTATTATTGGTTTAAAACGTTGTTCTTTAGACAAACCTTTCACATTGTAAAATGTAGTTGAGAAAGAAAAAAACTTGCAAAGTCCAAAAGAACGAAAAGAACCTTTATGTGGCAATGCATTCGCTACCATTATATGCGATCTGGGTTAAATCCAACTTGCTTCGTGGCATTTGAGACATGGTGTGAATGGAAAAAGGTTAGTATAAAGCCGACTTCAAGTTAAAAGCTGGGAGCATTAATTCATTCTCGGCACTTACCTTTGTGTAGAATCTGATTAAGAATTAGGTTCACATTCTTGATCTCGAGAAGCGTTTTCAAGAAGGAACATAATAGATTTATAGTCTAAGTGTTAAAACCACGGTGAAACTATAAAAACTAATATGAAATCAATTATCATGTCAGAAAGTAAGTTAAAGTTGATGAACAAGCTGAAATATAAATGAGAGCGGAATTTTAAACGGAAAAAGGACTGGATAAAACTTGGAAAAAAAATTGATAAAATAACAGGTTTTCGCTTTGCACCAGTCTCTAACAATTGACTTCTGGTTACTGTGTTAAAATTTTGAAGTCTAATATTGCCATAATTATTCATTGGACGACATAAAATATGATCACATAAGGCCAAGGACAATTTCACTAACAAAAAGTTTAATACCATGTATAAACTGTAATCAGTGGCGGGGCGCCGTTGGTGCATTTGATGCAAGCGCTCCACCTAACCCTGGCCTTCACCTCCCCTATTTTCTAATTGTTCTAAACCAGTCAGTGCTCTAGATTTACATACTAGTACTAGTAGTTCTAGCCTACATCCTTGCGACCCGTCACCCGCTGGCTGCGCGTGCGCCAGCGAAGAGACAGACAGCGAGGACGGTTAAAGCTCGTCGCACCGCTTGCGGTACTGTCTGCTGGGAGCAAGCAAAATCTTTGCACCAAAGTTATTTTTGTCACTGTAGATAAACCTATGCATCGTCCTTCCCGCACAAGAAGAAAGGTGCGTGAAACTTAAGTTCGCAGCACCAATTTGATGCAAGCTAAAAATTTGATCCAAGTTACCTCTAGCCTATCTACTACACTAGTAGACTAGTAGTAGAGTCTACGGCAACTCAATGAAGAATGGGTATTAAAATTGTTGTCGCCCTCTATTGTGTAGCAAGTCCTGTTAAGGTTAAGGTAAATTTTCAAATTGAGTCTGGTTGTTGGTGCTGCAAGAAGTAATTAGAAATCTTTAAATCTTCTCAGATTGTGAGCATAGTGAGTTGTTAGTATTGTTTCACTTTATTGCAGCTTTTATTCGGCTTCATCTAGAAACAGCTGTGAATATCGATATATCTAGATTACGGGATATCCTGCAGATTCTAACTGACTCTCTCTAGAAATCTAGATGAATCACGTTAACGCTTTACTTCTTGTGCCTTCTTGTGCCATTCAGCAGGCTACAGTTAGAAGAGAAAGTGCGCATGAAAGAGCTGGGTCCTCATCTGTCGCGGGATTTTGTGCTCAAGAAATGTTCGCTTTTTCCCTGTACGCAGTATGATAAGTAGAATAAATTGTACTGTTTCCATAACAAGTCTGCTTTTTACTGATCGATCAGACACTGACGAGGTTTGGTCATCAATCACACTCACTCTCCCTTTGCCTCTCTCTC